TGCTGTTAAGGCCGGTGATGAAACAGATGTTGCTGAAGTGGATGGCAGTGAAGATGTCTCAGACGTTGAGACCGGTGATGGAACCGATTCTGGTGAGACCGATGATACAACCGATTCTGATAAGACCGGTGATGATTGTAATGAGGCAGATGAAATACCACATTCTTGCAGATGGAGTTTATATTGGCTGCAAAATTAGATGTAATAAAATATTTATTAAATTATCAATTAATTATATTACGATTTGGTTAGATAGCATGAAAGAGTATATGCGCGGTGTGTAAATAATTATCAATTAATTATAGTAAGTTAATTACAGAATTGTCGTTGAATCTTCTTTTAGCTTATCAGGTCTGTTTCTAGAATTAGTCAAATCACTAAAAGGTTGTCGACTGATTGCGTAGGAATGCTCAGTAATACTCTGATTCTTTCTTACAAATTTACTAGGCACAGCATGTGATTTTAATTTTTTCTTCCCATCAACTCTCATTTGTTCAAATTGATCTTCTTCAAAATGAAACTATTAATAAAAGAAATAATTGTTTATACATATATATGTGTAATTATACATACAATATTTTAAAACAAATATTAGGAAAAATTTAAAGTTTACACTTACTTCACAAAGAACTCCAGTCTTGCCAGGAGACCAATTTGGACCTCGATTAACTCTTTTTTTCCATATTTCACGGTACTTAGAATCCTTGGGAAAATATGGCATATAAATTTTTTGTCCTGCATTTATCGGACAGTCCGGAGCTGAGCATCTTTTTACCATATCGCTAATTAAAGAGAAAATAATATAATCATAAAGTTTTGTGGCAATAATCCTTGTATTCATACTCTCATAAAAATCATTGAGTTCCGAGGTTATGTTACATTCTTCTATCGCTGCTTTCCTTTTAGGAGACACAAATCGACACACATCGCTTTCCATTTACAATTTTTTATCAAACTCGACACACTTCGCCTCTGCTCGAGAGGAGAGTCAGAGTATGTGTGACAAACTGTGTTTGAGTTATACTGTGTCGATTTGTGTCTCCTAAAAGGAAAGCAGCCTATGTAAATAATATTTTAAAGGATTAAACAATAATCTTATGTGTCAAAGCACATATATATCATTATATGCAATTAAAATGTTTAAACTTACGCATAAAAAATGGTAACATAAAACTTTTATTTGCCTAGGATAGAACGTGTAAGATAATGTGAGATAGAATTGTAGGATAAAATGAAATAGAAGTATGTCACTAGTATTATAAATGGCTGCCAAGCCACGTGACTGTAACAGCGAATCAGAATGCGGAACACCGGTTGCGCTTCTCTGATATCTAGGACTCTAG